TTTAATTATATTGATAATATTAAGAATAGTAGAGTTCAGTTAAACTTGAGTTAGATTTGAGTTAAATAAACGATCAGTTAAAAGTGATTGATTTTTTTTTTTTTAAATCTTGTATCCTAGCATGCTCTAAATTACTTGAATTACTTGGGATGTACATTTGAACCAAAAAAAAAAGCAAGAAGCTCCAAGTTTCATGCAATATACACACAAAAATAAAAAAAAGAATTAGATGCGATCTCACTTTTTCAACAGAAATAAGTACTTCAAATTGAAATATCATAAGCAACATAAAAATAAATATGACATTTCGTTTCACTGTATAGGTGTGCGTTTTGGTTAAAAACAAAAGTGTATTGGATCGACCTGCTTAACAATTAAACGTTTTCGTACAAAATTTTAGTTCCATTTTGTAGTGTGGATAACCATGAATTCAAAATTAACACTGGTTTTGTTGCATAAAAAAAAATGAAACTAGGAGAAGGTAATGCTTATGGTTAGAACTTAGAACACTGTTCTTTTTCCCCCAATTATTGATTAAAAAACAAATGGAAATGACACCCCTACATGAAGACCTAAATCTGGTATAAAGTAATGAAGATAGCTACGGTCCCGTTACGGCATCATTCCGTCGGGGTTTTCAACCGTTAGATCAACTATTTATGACGATCTATGACGGTTACATGATGATCTAACGGTTACAAAACCTGACGAAATGGTTCCGTAACGGGACCTTAGCATTTTCCTAAAATAATAAAGTCCAAAACTGGAAGAAAAAACACAAAAAAAAATTGGGTGCAAGATTTGTGGGCACGAGGTGGGAGTGAGAAAAAAAGAAATCTGAGTAAAGCCACAGTGTATTATTTTACACAGATGCTCACGTGACACCAGAAAATTTAACAAGTCTCGGGGCATTGACTTTTATTTTCATAGGTTCTTGATTAAGTCAATTAAAATTAAAAAAAAAAAACACACACACACACAAAAGTTAAATTAAATAAAATTTATTAATCAAGCCATATTATAGGGTGTCCTGATCGAGACAGCATAAGAGATTGGAATAGAAACATCAAAAAACACACACTCTGTTTCACTCAATTATCACAACTCATCATGTTTTTTGCTTTGATGGTTACGAGGATTTGAGCTTCTAAATCATATGAAATCAATGTATGTGTCCCAAGGAGTAAATACAGCAGAAATAGAGGCTTCTAATGACAATTACTAGTATATTTGTTGCCGTAAAACCTCGATTAGCCCGAGCCCGGTTAATTAGAATATTGTGGGTTCTGTGGCAAGATCAGCATCTTGTCTTGTGTAAGACTTAATACTGATTAATTATTGAGTTGCAAAAGGTCAAATATTTGAGTACTCAAGTGCACGAAACCGATATTATAAATAAAGCTATATAATATAATATGTCGATCCGTTAGACGGGTCGACCTCTAATTTTTTTTTTAAAAAAAAATCCATACTTATATCGTGGAACAAAAATTTTATGGAGCCATCCGTATAAATTGATGTGCTGACACATGTTCAATGATGTGTATTTATTGTATGACACGTGTCAATACACAAATACCATTTGTGAATAACTGTGGAAGGCTCCATAAGCTGCCATCTGATGGCTCTATAGCAACACCGGTTGGTTAGATTGATAAGATAATCATTTTAAGTAAAGCACATGAGACTGCACAGTAACATACTTGATCGATAGATGATTTAATGCCCTCAACTAAGTTCCAAGGTGGTGCAGTTGTCTCAACAAACTCCATTTAACACAAATGGGTCAAGTATACCAAGTTAACAACCCATGAAGAGACTCAATAAATGTGAAGAAAAACAAACAAGCAATGAAGCAATGTGTGTGTGTGTGGAGCTGTGTGCAATTAAGTAACAAGCCAACAAAACATAATGGCTATCTATGCACATAATTATATACCATGTTAAAGGTGAAGATAAAAAAAAAATAAAAAAATATTGAAACTAAAGTACCTTTGAATAGCCATTGGGCATGTCTTGCACCACACAGCCTGACGGGAGCCTGCGGCAGCTCGGATAAGTGGGCCCGCCACTGGAAGCTTCTCGTATGGTGTCGATCGACACATCAACCACGGCCCACAAGCCCTCCGCGTGTTGCTTGCAAAACCGGAGGAAATGGACCTCTCGTACGGGAACTAATGGTGATAGAACTTGTAGCTCGGCTTGCATCTAGCCACATCATAAAATTGTGACGAGAGAATTGCACATTAATTAGCACTTGATTCAAAATAATAACTAAACAAGATTCAATTTTTAAGTATATTTAGAAGAAGCTTTGCATATATTAAAAAAAAAAAAATTACATACTTGATTCATTTTATTTAGTACATAGATGATGGGAAAAAAGAGTTATTACCAGCTGAAGTGCACCATTCCTTGTTCCTCCCATACCCTCTGAGATCACATCAGTAGTTGTGGTCCTTGCAATTATACAAGGAAACATCTCTGCCCATTTGTTCTAATCAAACAAAAAAAAATAAAAAAATAAAACCCAATTAATCATCTCATCAACTTGACAAGAAAAATGCCTCAATTTTTTTTGAAAAAAATCGTACGTTTATAAGCAATCACAATCAAGAACTCGAAAAATATATATCGAATTTCAATTTCAAAACCAACCTATAACAATCAGCATTTTTTTTAGTTTGGCCGAGGCCCATTAATTTGTAAGAACCAACTCACCGAGTCCATCAACGTCTCGACCAGCGCCAAACTGTTGATTATAACCATACCAGTCTCTCTCGAAGCCTCACTCACAAACCCGTTTGGCCTCATCCCAATGCAAGGGCTGAAAGTCCTCAAATACTCGTCACGGTCCAAAACATCCCTTCCCCCTTCTAACCCCCCGACCCAAACGGGCCCATCCATCTGGGCCATTTTCACCAACTCGCCCATTGCCGCCAGAGCAAGCTCCAAATACATCGACCTCTCCAAAGACCGTTCAATCGGAGTCACCCCAACCGAACCTTTCACCTGGGGCGGCAGCATCACGGGCTGCTGGAAGTCGGGTGGGCCCAATGGCAGGCCTGAGGAGAGCATGTTCAGGCCCACGAACCCGTTGCTGCCAACCCCCAGCTCCAGGCTCGAGCTGGGCACGAGCGGGGGGCCCAAGGATGAAATGGGCCGGCCCAAGAACTTGCCGGCGAGGGCGCACACGCGGTCTAGCTCGTCTTTCAGCCGGGCGTTCTCGACCCTGAGGTGCTGCTCTTCGAGGGAGATCTCGCCGATCAAGGCGGGCCCGCCGCAGTTCGTGCAGATGGGGTTCCGCATGGCATCCTTGATGTTCATGTTCTCGGCTCGAAGCTTGTCGTTTTCTTGCCGGAGGATGGAGTTCTCGTGTCGCTCGATCTGGGTCTGGCGTAATTGAGAATTTTTCATTAGGATGAGAGTTTTTTTTTGTTTTTGTGTGTGTGTGTGTGTGTGTGTGTTTTGGGTGTACCTTCATCTGAGTTCTTCTGTTTTGAAACCAAAACTTGACTTGCCTTGTCTCCAAGCAAAGCCTTCTGCTAAGCTCCAGCCTTTGCTTCTCATCTGGATGAGGGCACTCCTTGAAAAGACTGGAAACAATCAATCAAAGAGTCAAGACTAAATTTTTACTTTTAAATAGTTAATAATAAAAAATCAAATCGTTGAAAAAAATCACAACACCAATTAATTAATAAGATAGGAGAGAAATCAAATAAATATTAAACACTTCATTGTATTAAGCAGCAAAAAAAATAATAAAATAATCTTTTCCTGGCAAATGATGATTTGAAAACAAGAAAATCGAAAGGGAAAAAAAAGGGGCAGTACGTTTCAAGTTCTTGGATTTGCTGAGGAGTGTGTCGGTGGTATCTTTTCTTCCTCGGAGGCTTGTCGGAGCCGTCGTGGTCGTCGCCGGAGCCGGAGCCGCCGCCGCCGCCTCCGTCCATGTTGTCGCTCCCAGATCTGCTCTCCACATCCAATTCGTCCCGGCTTCTAACCCTCCCCAAGCCATTCAGATTACGAACATTCTCATAATCACCATTATTAAAGTTGTTAATACTGATGTTTGAACCAATATTTCTAACACCCAACTGGTGATCTCTTTGTCCGCCCTCCATACCCGTTTGCTGCAGATACCCAAAAAAAAAAAAAAACATAATAATAATAATAATTAAAAAACATTCTTTATCATAGATGTGAAAGTTAGAAAGAGAGAGAAAGAGAGAGAGAGAAAGTGGGTACTAGTGCAAGAGAGAGGCCGGGAGACTTGAACGGCGGCTTTCCGGCGGCGGCCATGGGCTGAGAAATGGCGGCAGCGGCCGACATAATATTGTTGTGATTAGTGTGGTGAGGTAAATCCGTAACAACTCTTGCGCCACTACAAGAACTGATGTGATCAAGAAAATCCCCAAAATTCATGAAATTTATGCCCCCTTTCTTCTTCTTCTTCTTCTTCTTCTTCTTTTTTTTTTCCAAAAATTTTGTTTTTTTCGAAGTCCCTTTTGACGATCAGACGCTAAAGAATGTTCAAATTGTTTTCTTACACGCTACAAGATTTACACCATAGAAAATAGACAACCGGGATTTAGTTCGATGTGAACAACGTTTTTGGCTAACACACGTTCTCCACACACACTAACACACACTCACAAGGACCCAACAGGCCAAATAGAAGAAAATAATCAATAACAAGAAAAAACAGAAGAAATTAAATAAATAAGTAATAGAGAGAGAGAGGTAGAAGAGACACAAGGCCTAAATATGAATCCCAAATGTCTCTCAAGCTGCCTCTCCAAAAAATGAGAAAAGCTTAAAAAAGCTTCCTTTTTATTCTACACTTAGAGAAAGAAAGAGAAAGAAGGCAAGCAAGACAAGAAAATCCCCATTTTTTTTTTCTTTCTATTTTCTTATTTTGCTTCTCCTCTTCCTTCTCAATCCCTCTCTCTCTCCCCTCCCCTACACCAAAATCTTACTCAAGAAACAATATTACAATAAAAAATAAATAAATAAAAACACCCTTTTTTTTCTCCACAGAAAAGAAAAATATAGTAAATCAAAAGAACT